GATTAGTTCGTCATTCAGTCTGATTTTCTTATTTTTATACTGTTTTGCCTGTCAGCCTGAATAAACGGCTCGCCTTCTGTTAACTCCAGTCTCCACGCATCTGCATTTGGGTCCTCTTGCTGCTCCACTCAATCTGCTGCTGCAGATCATGACACTTTCTTGGATGCATGCTGATAAGTATAGTCTTATTTGTTTTTTTAAATTGAATTTTTCTACTTTCCTAAGGATTCTGTCAAAAAGGCCTAGAGACTGGTTGGCAACCGGCATCAACCACACATCCTTAGGGACAAACAAATTGAATGACTGGTTGGTGTGTGGTTGCTGAGAGTTGCTAGGTGGTGATGTCTGCAAAAAGGTTAGCAGATTCACACCCATAATTTTCATTTAAAAACAAAAAAAGTACATTTGTCCTGTAATAGACAGCAATGTCAAGCAAACAATCACCAGTAATTTGGGGAATAGACATTTTTCCCTATGGTTGTCAGGGGACCATTGTGTGAACTCTAGGGTCATGTGACTGAAACAAAAGGTTTCATAGCAACCTTAAGCACACGCTTGCCAACTGGTCAGGACATACATTTTTTTTTTTTTTTTGCCTAGTAAGAATTGGCTTAAAGGGGTTGCTGACTGGTCTCTAGGCCTTAAGTACAGATAATAAACACACTGGTGTAACTAGCTGCTCTTGAGTAGTTTGTACTTGAACTTATCAACTTTTAAGATTGTGTATAATCAGCTTCAAAGATCCAAAGTTAGCTTAAAGGATCAAAGAGAAATTTACTTCACATGGGACACACTGAGTCGAGACTGAAGGCAGACAGAGATGCCCCAAAGTAAAAGAAATCACAACTGTTACTATTACAATATAAAGAAGAACTGATGTAAGATGAAAACATTTTGGACATAAAGTATAACATTGATACAGCAGCACGGATACACTCCGGCAATTTTCAACATTTAATCAGAGGGTGAAATTTTGTAGGTATCCTGAGAAATCAGATGAAACTGCGCAGCTTTCAGTTACTGAATAAGAAGCATACTGACAGCCTACTTCTGTTAGTACTTCTCATGCAGATGTCTAGTTTATTTTCTCACCACTTTTCATAAAATACCATTTTAGAAATCAATTATAAATATATTATTGTAAAGCTTGTGTTAAAAACCTTTCATTAAAAAACAATCCCATGAACTAGTTGCACGACAGCTTGTAGGACCCTTTTATTAACAAGTGACTCATAGATTACCAATATTTCTTATTGTTTTATTGCTCAACACCTCATATTTTTTTTCAAAACATTTCAGTATAATGTTTACATTATGAGGAATAACTTATTGGAAGGTGATTCAGGTTTTCCTGAACCACACTCATTTTATTCCAAATTTAAAAAAATTGGGGTATGTGTGTCCCCCACTTTACATCTGCAGGTGGTGCTATCTCCCTGTGCATCTAGCTGGCACTGGAATTTATGTGTCTTAGAGTTAAGGCTCACAACTCTTCAACTCTGCTGCAGCTAGCCTACATTTTTCTGACAGAATGTTTAAATTAACCTTTTATAAATGTTCCACAACTTATCTCAGTGCAACTAAAACTTTTGGATTTTTCGACCTGATTTCGCTGCGAAGGGCACACATAGTTTAGTTGATCATTTCAACCAATTAAGATCGTGTCTTGTACAAGAAAATGCCAATTTTGAATTGATAAATCTAACTAAACAAAAGCCACTGAAACTCCTGGAATTATATACCAGTTCATTTTCTAGGATTTTGAAGGAAATCCAGAACATTGTTCCAAATTCCATAAGAACTGTTGGTTTTAGCAAAGGTGACGGTTTACTGAAAACATGAGAGAGATGGAAGCAAATAAAGGGATTAAGAGAGAGACTGAAGTGAAAGAGGTGTGCAGGAAAATATTTGGGCAAGACAAGGAAATAACCAGAAGACGAGAGGAAAAGAGCACAGGAAATGTTGAGATTTCCTTTGGTTGTTGGGTTCCTGACATATTTGCTCACTACCCTCTTTCCCTCCGGGAGTGTTA